ACACTAGGTACCAAATCCCCATTTCCCCCCAAAAGAAGGGTTCCCGGACAGTCACACATGGTGAACATCTGCCCAAATTCTCAAAAGGGGTGACCATTTGTCAGCGGTCTGCGAAGCCGCGGGGGGAGGAAATTTGTGGTGACCTCTATAGGTTACCACAAATTCTCAATCTTTTTCCGAATTACCATGCAAAATTGGAGAAATAATGGAACCCCACGATATTAGCGACCTATCAATTGACGAAAAAGAGATTTGGGGAAATGGGCGCACGCGCGGAGTGGTCAGACGCGCGGAGCGGTCAGACGCGCGGACCACCAGCAGAGAGGTTTGTATGGACACCCGTTGGTGCAAACGGCCAGCAGTAACGACCCAAAAAAAAAAAAGGAAAAACTGACATAGCGCAAGGCGGCGGTCTCGCAGCCCATAGTGCCGACCAGCGCGTTTGTCTTGTAGTTATACAAGAAAGTAACGAAACGAGCTTAGACAGGGCGTCGTCGTATAAGCAGAGACTGCTGACGTTATGGTCCAGCAAAGGAGTTTCGGTCTGATGCTATTGGGTGGTAGTTGGTGCAGACCAGAAGCCTGTTTTTTGCTTTGTTTTTTTTTTGCCCTTTTTCTTTTTGGGACGATTTGCACAATACCTTCAAAGGTTCAGATATATGATAAAATGGTCGTAAAATATGTGGGCAGAGCGAAACACCGCTCTGACAAAAACAACAGTTTGCGAAATGTCCGCAGGATCCGTTGGCCCCCATCTTTGCAATATACCTGTACTGGGTACCATTCAACCTGGAGAAATGTCCCAGAAATTGGGTTTAACATCGGTGAGTCGCAAATTTGAAATTGAATAGCAAATGGACTAATAGATATAGCAACCAGCAATAAAGGAGGCAAGGGGAAACCCATCTTAAAAAGAATAGTATTATGGAACGTTCCTAGATCTAGCCTTAGACAAAATCAGTCGTTGGAATCCCAACGGAAGAATAGGAAAAGGGTACGCCATACCCAAACATAAGGACGTCACCAAATGGCGACCCATCTGCCCCACCACGACTGAGCCTGCAGTAGTAGCATGCAAGAAAGTTACTTCTTGTATCAATGTGCTCATCAAGGCCCTTCTGCAAACGCTCCACTTCAATCTCTTTCGCACTATGGACCTGGTTCCGGCACTCACCAGGATAAATGACTCTCTTGCTGCTGATCATCGGCTACTCTGCTCCAGTTTTGACGTGAAAGAAATGTTTACCAAGCTCCCTCATTCATCTATTCTAGAAGCGTTTAGGTGGTTCGTATGTTATTATCAGTTGCAAGGGTATGACTGTGTGTGGATCAAGAGAAGAGGGAAAGGGGCGAAGTTATCCAATGCCCGCTCTATGGTGGGATGGAGACGAGTTACTCTAGCAGACATTGAGGAGTTTCTCAGGTTTGATCTACAGCACACATATGTCAGTGCTATGGGAGTTTTGTTTCGACAGACTATCGGAGTACCTATAGGCAAATCGTCCAGTCCCGCGCTAGCCGCAGTCTTATGCATGTATAATGAGATGAATTTCCTGCAATCGCTCGGGAAAGATAGAGCTCTTTTCCAAGGAGTAAGGCTGGTTGACGATGTATCCGTCTTTGTGCTATACTC